TTATTTTATTTTATCGTTATCGTTTTATTTCCAGCCAGTAATCTTATAGGCACATTTGATAAATACTATTTCGAATCGATAAACCTAAATGTTGTTCTAGTCTTTTTAATTCTTTATCGTTTACGGGAATTGTAGGTTTTAATTGAAAGTATTCCATTTTTTATATGGATTAATGTTGATAACATATTTGCGATAACATTTGTATAGTCACGTATAACAATATGTATTATATAAACCAGGGCCACTATTATTTATCTATTTTAATATTGTTAAAATGTCACAGTTGCTTTAGCTTTTTGATTTCGACTGATGTCGAAAATTATTTTAATATTCTAACATTTTTCTCTTCAATAAAGCCGCTTCAATAATTAAAAATATAATTGAATACCAACAAGGGAATAAAATGCATGATGAAAAGATGAAAATGTAGCACCAACAAAAGGAAACCTAAATGAAAAGAGAGAAAGAGAGATGAGAATAAACTGTAATGATTGCAATAACAATAAATCAAAGTCGGTTTAAAATTCATTAAGCCGTCAGTACGCCAAGAGCTAATGCTACCTGTATGCTAAATTCCATGACGATTCATAATGCGTACAGAAGTAACAAACATACTAAAAATAAACTGACTCACTTTTACATTTATAACATTACTATGATTTATGTAAATTAATATTACATATAAAGTGGAAAGATTTGATAGTTTGTAATGGGTAAACTTAATAAAAAATATTTTTAAAAACTTTTTCCTATAGAAAGCATGGGCTCTCTTGTATTAAGGAAGAAATTAGAGATCTACCTATTCATTTGTGCGGAGTCGGTCCGGGTCGCTAGTCAATAATACCATTAAACAAAGTACTGAAGTGTTTTCCGTGTTGTTGTATACTTACTAAGGTTACTAAGGTTTTACCATTGTTTACTATTATTATGGTATTACATGACATTGCCACACGTCATTGCCTTTTTGTTCTCTTGTGTATGCCGTGAATAAAATTGAAATGGTTGTTTTATGTAAGTACAATAGCTGCTTGTAAAGTTAACTTATTAATGTCGTTGATGGGTTTTAGGGTTCCATTTAATTTATAGATAATAAACAAGTACCTATTTTTATGCAAAAAAAGAAAATATTTCAGTCGTGAACAGATGCAAATTGCGATAAACGATGAAATGTTTCGTTTAAATATTATATAGAAAATATTTGAATTTCGAACGCGAAATTATATGTATATTTCATTTAACAACAAGCAGTTTTGTTTCCATAAAATAAAAAAAACAACAGTATCAATCATCACAATATCATATGTGACAACACGGAAATAAAACGTGTTAACGGCGAAAAGAATTGTGAATTTTGTTTCTGAATTAGCAATGAAGTCACGTAACATAAGCGCAATAATAATAAATAAATAAATGTAATAAACTGAAAACCTCTTTTTTTAAGGTCGCTTAATCTGAATATTTTTGAGTTTATGTAAAAGATGCATAAAAAAGAGTGAGACCGAGTGTAACATCTGATAGGTTACAGTGGAAGAGGAAAACTTACCGGCACCTTATGTTTAACACATTATAATTAAAAAAAAAAAATACTGATGATAATATTTTTATTCAAGTAAACTTAGATTTCACAACATTACAGTAATAAATTTAGCAAAAACACAAAAGAATTACTAAATAGATTGCATAGAGATAATAATTGGCGGGTTTATCGTTTTAAGCAATTTCTTTCAAGGAACCCATAGGTGGAGAGTATTTATAAAATTAGTAATTATAAATAATTTGGTAGGAGGCACATAAAAATTTTGTCTGTTCTTTTAATACATTTGTAAATATATCACCTATAATTATGTATTGTTACATTTAAAGCAAATGACCTATGATTTATTATTTACAATAACGCAATAACAGCGCCGTTTCATATACAATACAAAACTAATTCATTTCTTCTGTCCTGAATGGGGAATAATATAACAGTCTGTCTTATCCGTGTCGTATTAAAATTCAATAACTTTGCGTGTAACGAACGTCACACAATGTTTTATGTATTCGGAACATAATCGGACCTATCACCTTATTGTAGTGGATACAAGGGGGATTTTTGTTCAAAAAGATCAATGTATTTTGTTTTCTGGATCTTAATCTTGATACGAATACATACATATAACCTGGAACAAACAAGGTTTTCGGTCAGTTAGTGTCGAGGTCCCAGTACTTTTTGTCGATCTGATACTGTGATTGAATTATTGGACGAAATGGGAGTGTTCTTCTTAAAAAAGTATGTAGCAATTTTAGGTTTCTAAAAAGAAAGATATATAACTTATTAAAAAATATTGGTGTTGTTTATAATATACTTATATATATATTATAACATAGAATAAACCTGATCTGTTTCGCTTTATAATATTCTCTAAATTCTATAACATGTTATGGAATTTAGAGAATGCTATAAGGAATTAATATAAAATATTGTTTATTATATTAACGTTTAGATTGATATGTGCGTGACTTTAATCGCTCACAGAGACAAAGCAGTTTAATGAATTTTAATGTAAAAGTCATACTTGAGTTATTGTATAAATGTTTTAACGCGAGTGCCTTAGCTTTTATGACGATCATAAATTGAAAAATTTTGCAACTGACAACAAAAGTATTTAAGCTGTTCACCTTAGCTACATACGTGTGTAGATTTTTTCATACTTTTCTGAACAATTTTTAAACATTTTCTTTCATATAAACCTTATTCTGATAATTACAAATATAACAAAAAAAAAGCTAAATAGATACAGTTGTTCTAAAGTGACGCGCTTCTTTTTTTATGCAACTTATCGGTATCTTAGCATAGTGCGGTAACTTCCAACTTAAAAGTAATATATTATTGAATTACTACTTTCAGAATTTATCGTCTCTGATACATAGGTATTTATGTCACGAATTGCGTATTTTTCACGTTGTACTATTTATTTTGTGCGTGTTTAAACACATGGTCTGTGGTCGTTAACAGCTGTTACAATTTACGACTATTATTAAAATTTTAATAGTAATCAATAATACCTAGTTTACACTTTAATAAGGATACGTTTGAAAATAATATTTGTATGTTCAACCATAAAAGTTTACAAACTGCATATATAGTATTTATGGTAAGCTCTTACGCAAAAAGAAGAATTATGAAATTCTTGTTTTTTTTTTTTGTATCACTTTGAACTGTTGTCTGCGTATTTGTCTTTGTATATTTGTCGATGGAATCGTAACTCTCAAAAGTCGATAAAATGCGTTTTATTTTATTTCAGGAATTATTTAATCAGTTCATTGTCCGATACTATGAACCGAGTTTTATCAACTTTTTTTTATATTTTTTAAATGTAATGTGTAGGTATTGGTTATTCGATATATTACGCTAAAAATAGTGTAGCCGAGGACGATCGCGGGAAGTGGTTAACTATTAAATTAATAGCCAATTAAGGTTGGGTTAGTTATTATATTCTATTATTATAAACTATGATAGATGAAAATAACTTTAACTACTGAGAATTCTGTAATGGCTTTGCGACTGCACTTTTTAGTATACCTTCGCTTCAATATCCTTTAATTTATGTATTAGTGTATAAGAGTAAAAAAGCAAAATTTTATTTTATTTCTATTGAAAAGGTAGGAAGTTGATGTTGAAAAGGTGTCATGAAATTTAAAATGTAATCTAACTAAATGAATATTATTGAATGTAGTTTCACGAATTAAGTAACTTTCTAAATTGCATTCTATTTTTTTAATCTAAGGTTTGCTGCAATCCTGCAAAGATCTGACCTACTCTACAATACATTCCGATGCAGAGTGCAATTCAACTCTGTATACTAGTGCATATAAAACACCATCGTTCCAAGCCAAGTTACAGGCTTTCTAATCTCCAGCAGTCTGAAACTACTCATATTTGGCCATTCGCCAGTATCCGTCAATTTGCATTGTGCTTTTGTTGTTTTCTCCATCCCACCAGTGGGATTATATTCTGTTATAAACGTAAACCCTTTTGTTTACTTTTTTTTTCACAATATGATGTCATTAAATACGTGTATAGATACATTGACCAGATGTCAGATAGAATTAATTAACAACAGCAATAAACATTTTACGCGGAGCAGTGTAAACTGACGCAAATTGTAACAACGCCTTCCGTTGTTGCTACTAACAACTCAATCGCTCATTTATGTCATCGGCACTATTACACTATAAGCACTGCTTTTCATAATAATAAGCTATATACAAACTACAGTTGGTTTTGAACCGTTTTTCATGGCAGTTTATGGGGGAGGTCTATATTCAGCAGTGGATGGACAATGGCTGAGATGATGACGATGATGATGATGAATATATAGAGTAAATTGTTATGTAAAATGAGAATCTTCACAATATAATAAGGGCCAATTTTTTAAATATTTTTTTTAATAATTTATTTAAATGTACTTATTTTAGTAATCATTTTACAATAGTTTGGATTAGATAGAATATTACTTTTATACTTCATCAAAAAGTGGATTATATATATATATAGACTCGTCTCTAAAATTCCATGGTGTTTCACAGCCTCGCCATAGTGTTGTTTTTTTTTTGCCGAGTAAAATCTTGCTTATTGTCAGATAATTTTATTCGTAAAATCTATTTACTTTGAATTAATTTTATTACTTAAAAATAATTTAGTTGAACGTTTTTTCTTACTATTAAATTTGACCAAAGCTGCAAAATTAAGTGTATTAGGTTATTGTAATGGGTAAAAGAAAATGGTAATCCTGCTATCGGTATACGCTGGCGGGGCTCCAATGAGGGATGACTGGTGATGATTTAAGTCGATTGTTCCATTGTTAAGAATTAAGCAATAATTAACCACGATGGTTTTCAAGGGAAACCGTTTGGAGATCAACATGATAGAGCTATGCATGATTGCTAAGCATATTAGATAGGTGTCTCTTGCTTTTAGTTAGTTGCTAATAAGTCTCTATCTCTTTTATTTTCAGACAAACTCTAAAACCTCTGTCCGGGTCAGCGCCGTCGGTGCGTGTGGGCGCGTTGAACGCCAACACAAACGACACAGCCGAAGGCAAGCAACCCAGTAAGGCCCGACAAAAGAAATTCATGAGGCATTTCCCGCAGGTTGGCCCCGAGGAACGGGTTCTTAATTGTAAGTACCAACATTGCAACTGCGGCATATATTGTATATGAGGACTGCAACCTGATTTGTTGGATGTCTTGAGTTATTTAGTAATGGAACTATTATATCTCTTTTTCCGTTTGCATGGTTGTGTTTTGATTTGATAGGTGGGATATGGCAGTTAAATTACATGATACACAGGCATAACATCATGGTACTCGGAAATGGTTACGCATGGGGGGCATCATCACATTCCATCTTGTAGATCGTCAGTTTCTTGCCATCTCAAGTTTCATGAAACAATATAGCATTTTTTTTTCTTTTTCTGTATTTAAAAGAGTGTGTCTTTGTTCAAAGTTAAGAAGTCTGGTAAATCTCACTCATAGTAATACAATGAATAGTCCTACACACTTGTTGTATGAGTTTAAAACAACCGCATTACGCGAATCTTAAAATGATTTATTTTGTATTTTTCATTTCATACTCGGTGATTTGAATATGCATCTCATGCTATCTAATACGAGTGTTAATTACCAGATTACATACGGTTTAGTACTGTCATCGTCTGTGCTGGAGCATCACAACTATAATCTTAGATCGTTAATTATTCCAGCCACACTTGGCTAAATCTTGTCTTGTCACGATGCCTTGAGGAATTCATGCTCAGAAAAATTTCCAGACAAATAGTAATTTGTCCAACCCTGTTCACCACACTAAACCAAATGTATTTATCACAGGTATGTTTTATTATATTAAATCTTTCCTTACCCGAGCTACCGCACTAGGAATAAAAAGAAATTATTTCACATTGATCACTATATATATAATTATACCTGTTAGTACTGTAAAAGGAATGAGCCCCATAGGTAAAAAGATGCTAAAAGGTTAGGTAGCTATTATGATTTATTTTTGCAGCACATTAAGTATATGTAACTTCAGGTAGCTAGGTATAATTTATAAAATATTTATAGAATGCATGTCTACAGTGATCTTCTGTCATTTCCTGGTGCGAAAGCAAACACCATTGTATGTCATGCCACCTATTGTAAAGGTAAAATTGATTGTTTCCTGCTTAGTCGGATAATAATCTTGTAATGAAAATGTAATAAGCAATATTTTTTCACCGTTTCATGCTATGTGTCTAATTAGAGGCGAAAATGAGAGTTGAAGAGTTTATTACATTGGTGTTTTTTTTTTTTTAATAGAATTCACATGTTAAGTGAATATTACTGTGATAATTACAGTTTTATTTTCTAAATAGATATCATTTGTGTTTTTTATATATTTTTTTTTTTTTGATGGGTGAAAATGGTATGGTAACCCCGCCCGCGCTAACGGGATACACTGGCGGAGCACCAGTGAAGGGTGATAGATGAGAATGAAAACAGGCCAGTTAGCCTATCATGATGAATTCATTAGGAATTAACCATGATAGTTTCCAGGGGGAACCGCGAGGAGGTCGACCTGGTTGGGTATATTGCTAGCAATGGGATGAGAATCCCATTTGTCATCAGTCAGTCTCCATTACTAACAATCCCTTTCCCCTCTGTTTTTTATATTAGTGAATGAACATTTCATTGGCACTCATAAGTTTGCCCTTACAGAATTCAATATGAGTTTAGTTTAATAGTTTCTTGTCTGTCAAGATCAAAAATAAAACGAGATGAAGATCGAAATACTGAAGCTATTTTTTGTTACTGATTCTTATAAATCTATTAATCACGATCGGAGTTTATTTTTTACAGTGTTGATAGAACTTAGGTAACAACTTTTAATTTTATATTAATTTGCTTGTTGATAGATATAATTTTTAAATTACTCTATACTGTGTCTGTCTTCTTTGTATGATGTACTGACTAAACCACATGAGTTGAACTTTTTCCCATAACAAGTTGATTATGTAAGGTCTTTTGGCTGATCTATTGTCACATCAGTTTATTTATCAATTGGCTACATTACTATAATTCTAACTCATATTTGCTGTTGTCCATATTAGTTGCAAAGTATGTCGTTTCCTTATCTAGTCATTGGTGTTAAATTTCTTGGAATGACATGAATGCCAAATTGGACGAATTAGTTTATCTCGTGTATAGGGCGTGCTGCGTAATATTAGATATTTCATATGTAGGTAACAGGTAATACCTCAGTTGCAACGTTAGACTATTACATTCTAGGGTCTTTAAAGTAGAAATCCAGTGTTAAACTCGGAATTTTTAAAAATATTTTTTTAAATTCAAAGACATGTATAACGTCAAAAATTGTGAAGGAAGGATAACAAAACTACCACTTTCATTATGATAATGATAAGGCATAGCAGTATTAGGGTTTGCTCAAGATACTTTTTAATGCTGAGTTAGGGCAGCGTTTTTTCAACCAAGCCTTCTTTATCCCCTGCATTAAATTTTCATTGTATTAAGTGTATTTAATTTTTATTTCATGTTTAATATTTTAGCTATATATAGTTATATGTATGTAGTCGTCTTTTATAAGTCTTTATTCGGATTGTTGTTAAATATTAAAACTTTTATTTATAACTGTTAGAATCTAAGGCGGTTACTTAATCAACCAAATAGTCCACAAAACAAATAAAGACTAATTAAACGTAATTAAAGTTTATTTGAACTAATATACAAATGGATATAATCAGTATTTAACAACAATAAACAGTTAATTAACAATTATATTATAATACTGTCCATTAGGTGAATGCTAAGTATGAAAGGTTATAATATCCTTCTATGAATCGCTAAAAATGGCCATTTTAGACGAGTTCTTTCGTTCCACTCTCGCGTTGTTCACTTTCATAAATTCCGGTTTATTTACATTTGTTTTTAAAGGTTAAAAGGAAACCTTCACGGTTCAGGCAATGTCGGCAACAGCGTTCATTGATATTGTTTTCCGTTTCTCAAGTATTTTCAATTTGATTTGCTGGTTCCGTATATCTTCGTTAACGAACAACGCTGCTATTGACCTAGATTGAAATAACTTTAGTACATTCAACTATTGCATAATTAGATCTATTAAATACTATTATTACAGTTGTCTTATAATTCTCCTTTTCGTTTTCCTAAATTGTGCTCTATTTATAATTGTTTACAGTTTAATTTCGGGAAGTCTTAATAATAGAGTTACGACTTATTATTAAGTCGTAATGTTTATAGAACATTGCAACTAATAGTGTAAAAAATAAACTAATAAAGAGGAACGGTTTGATTTTTTATTTGTAATGAATAAACGTAATATAGAAACGATTAAAAATTAAAATTACCTACAGAATATTATTAGTGAGTAACATAGATTGTATTTTATAAAAAAAAAGTCAAAGACCTACCTACCTATCTACACGTGCGATGCCAGGGCAGATCGCTAGTATAAATATTTCTTTTTACTCCGACTTAGGTATGTTTTTTAGATTTCGTTTAACAGATCTAATTTTTTTTTCATAAAACAGGTCTTCTAAGAAGGAATAAATAATTTTGGTTGGGTACTCTAAACGAAGGTCGATGACCTACACGTGCCGTTGATTAAACGCGACTTTCGATCGTTAACCGCATGTGCATGTTTCATGTCATTTAATGCCTGCTTAATGATTTAAAACAAAAATGTGTAAAAACATAAGAAATTGAATTTTTATAAATATTTCCGAATTTTTTTAAACGCCATGTGTAATATAACTTTGTGAAATATGTGTAAATGATATTTCACAAAGTTGCCTTTCGATTCGATTTCGTTTCGTTATAAAAAAAATATGGTTATATTACTAAATTAGAAGGCATAATGTTTAAGGTATAGCCATATGAGCGTTACCTTGTATATTATGTTGTCAGTGTGTACAGGCAACAGTAATCACTTTCAAGTTATATAGAAATTGTAGGTTTTGTTATCCATATTTTTAAAATTTCACAGCGTACTCAATTCCAGATGTTCTTGTTCTCAAAGTCAGTGGAGCATATGTTGAACTAAGTTCAATGTTGCATATTTTAACTAAACATAACTATGTTATATTAACAGTCGCTCGTTGCGATGCAAAATTCTGCGTTTCTAATTAAAATATTTTCAATATAATGTCTCGAAATAATTCGCCGCTCATTAAGATGTAGTTGTTTTTTTTTTTGCAAATATAATAAAGAGTTTTCGCTCTTTAACAGAAAAATACTTTTTTTTTATTGCAATTTAAAAGGTTACTTATTATATTACTAGTTCTACCCCGTGGCTTCGCCCGAGTGAATCAGTTTATAAAGTATCATATGTTCTAAGGATATAATCTATCCGCGTGCCAAATTTCATGCAAACCAGTTCTGTGGTTAATGCATAAAATATTCTTTTACACAAAAACTCTTTCTACACCAATGTCTATGTCCATCCTTCCTAATTTCATGTTTATAATAGTAGTAAAAATAACATTATATCAATAATATTTCGTAGTGATTAATTATTTTTTATCTTGTCGACAGATTATTCCTGCGCTCTGGTGGGTGACCTACTCCTGCAAGGTCATCTGTACATCACCAAGAATTACTTTGCTTTCTACTCGAACGTGTTCGGATATGTGACCAAGGTGAGTGGCTCCGTTGACTACTTTTACTTATCATTCATGCAAATAGGGTTGCTGCTTTAATCTTTTTTAACAGCGTGTCAGCTGTGGCGGTACATGTGGCGCAGTGATAGGCATACTCTATGGATGGATATTATATAGCAATATCTATATGTTTTAGTTACAATATCTATAAACTGGTCCAATAATGAATATCTTAACAAGTCTGTTATCCTAAATATAAAATTGAACAACAGACTTTTAACATATTCGAAAATAGATATCCGACCGATATTTTTTTTTTCATATATTTGGGTAAACTAACAGTGACAAAATAAAGAATAATACATACATTATATTAATCAAAGAAAACTTCTTAAATAACTATTAAGACAGCACTATAATGTATAAGTTTCTTTTTATAAAAGGACAGCTTACTGTTACTACGTAAGCAGTTTGTTATTATAGTTTTACTTTGTATTTTCCTCTTGTATGTACTGGCGTCTTGTTTATAAAGTTATCTCTTTCGATATCCTGTAGATAAAAAGGAGTGGGGGTAACATATTATATTCTTAATTTGTAACTACTCGGAGAATAGTACTTAGGATTGAATTTGTGTAGTAAAATATTAATTTAATCAGCTATATTTTTTCCATAATCTACCTCTTGCTATTTATATCCTTTACGTAAAAGCAAGGCCATCAATTCTACAATAGAGGCTACGGTTAATTTGAATATTATGCATTACGTTTAAAATTAGACAAGGACATTGCAATTTTTACATATCATAACGGTATATAAATTACTAATGAACGTTATTTATGTTTAATTTTTTAAACTTTTCTATTTGGTACAACAGAATTAGTAGTAACAACATTTTATAAATGTACCTATCTTACTAATATAATAAAATTGTAACTGGATAATTTCTGTACATGGACGATATTTAAGGAAAATTAATACGAGAGATCTTATTAAGGTCAATAGAGACCAAAACATTGTCTGTCTTTCTGTATTTTTGTTCCGGTATCACGGAAAAACTACAGCTTCAAATTGGATGCGATTTTCACAGATGTGTTCCTAAAGGACATAATTTAAAATCTAGTGTATGTTTTGATACGCTATCTAGAAGTGCTTTATTTATTTTCCTATTTCTGAAACTCCGAGTACTAAGTAACGGGTAAAAAAACTAGTATTTTATAAAATGTTTTAATAATCCACTTAGCAATTAAATATGTGTTTATAATAATGTATTATATTACATTATTGTTAGTGTATCAATAAATTAATAATATATTAACGATAATAATGTATAATTAAGTAACATATTAACACAAATGTGCGTAATTAAAGTAACACATTAACATAAATGTGCGTAATCAAAGTCGTATTACCATCATCATATCATTATCATCATCATATTACCAAATTTGGCAAGTTGACAACCCTAACAATTATGTTGCGACGACATTGCGGTGTATGTAGTTTTCTGGGCCAAGTTCAAAAAAAGTTGGCTCGAGATCTAGACTCGGCTTGATTATGTGCTGTTCTAATGAAAAAACGACTTATTTGCTACCATTTACGGCGTTTTGCTTAGTATCTATTGTTTTAACAACGTGACACATTAGTATATTAAATACGAGACAATGACTGAGAACATAGCAGTTTACCGCTTCAATTTATTTTAGACCCAGTAGTTAAAAAAATACAGATGAAATTACAATGCATGAATTGTAAATTTAAAGTACCGAGTCATTTTCCGTTGATGAAAAACATCTCCAACAAACCAAATTAATCTGAGAGAAAGTTGTAGATTCGCTCGCTCTCATGTTGGATTAAAAATGCTCTTCGGAATATTTGCAAATGGATTATTACAATATCTAATGTCTAATATTATATAACTATCTTATATAATCGTATGTGCAACATACTTGCAATATTGTTTTTAGGAAAAAATCGCAACAATTTTGTAAATAGAGTGCATCCTCTATTTTCTAAAAAAGACATTGATTTATCTAAAGACAAAATTTAAAGCACCCAGATTAGATACAGTTTTGAATAATTTATTATTTAAATTTATTTGAACAAACATCGTCGAATTGGGGCCTCATTTACTTAAATACATAATGCAAACTACCTACCACTGACACTGCGCTTAGATGTAGTGAAGTATAAAATAAACAATACTGTTTATAATTTAAAATGACTATACTGTAGTTTTCTATGGAAAAAGTAAGGTATTTGATTATATATACAAAAATTATACTTGAATAGAAGATGGCAAATATATAATTACGTTGCTCCACGGAAGTGGATCAAGCTACTTATATAAATAGCATTTTTAGCTGAAAGTCGTTTTTGACCTTGATACAAATGATGTTATTTCTATTATACATATATTCAAATTAAATAATATAAAAATATTCCATGACATTATGCGCTAGCTACTATATACGATTTTTTTATATAAATTTTAATATTTTTTTATGGGAGAAATTTTTGTAATTTTCCTGTGAAAGAGTCTAATATAAATTCTTTTTATGTATTTTGTTTTAATCCTTAACATTGATATCTTCTATGCACTACGTTTCTTTTTTGCAGTCGAGAATAAATCTTGACGCGACATTTTCATTATCCTCCCGTTTCTATCGTATCCTATAAATAATATAAAAAAGACGCCGTTTGTCGTATCTTCTCACTTTCAGGGCATTTCTCTTAATAAAAAGACGAGTCTAGGAGTTCTGGACGTTAATATATCTAGCGACGACCAGTTTTTCGGTTATCTGGGGGAAAAGGCTAAAATACCTTCCAAAAAGTTAGGAGTGCTCAATAGTACAATTAAATTGTATAAAGCTTAAGTTAGGCCGCATATGGAATACTGTTCTTACCTATGGGCAGGAGCGCCACAGTACTAACTTCTTCCGTTTTCCGCATTCAAAGTCTGGCGGCTCGAATTATTGAGAGTCAGCGCCTTACTGTCCGACTCGACCCACTGAAACTGCCCAAAGATGTTGCATCTCCGTTCATCTTCTACCGAATTTATCATGGGGAGTGTTCTGAGAAATTGTTCGGATACCTGCTGCTGATTTTCACCACCGTACAACTCGCTATAAACTAAAGTTTCATCGCAATCTTCTGGACGAGTGGCGGTCTTCCACCGTGCGTTTTTCAAGGCACTTTCTTCCACGCACAACCACTCTTTGGAATCAACTTCCAGCAGCAGTATTTCCGAACCGATACGACAACATAACTTTCAAGAAAAGAGCATATTCCTTTTTAAAAGGCCGGCAGCACACCTGCAATGCCGTTGGTGTTGTAGGTGATCATGGGTATCATGCGGTAGTCACTTACCATCAGGTGAGCCGCATGCTCGTTTGTCCCCTGTGTTGTTAAAAAAAGAATATTTGTACGAAAGATAAGTTGAAATAAGTAATATAATTTTAATTACTTTTATTTATGCCATATGCTTTTTCATCTAACGTAATTATTAGACACCGCCCTTTTATCCCTTCCCACCAGTAGTGGAAGCTTATTCTTATGTCATGTAATGAACTTTTCTTGAAAGTTAATCGTTATTGGATTCCGTGAGGACGTGACGTGAGGCAACACGTGGTCAAAATTCCAATAATAATTGTAATTAACAGTATTACGGTCTACCGATACGTTCTTGACCTAATTGTAACCTACCGATAAACCAGTCTCCAGGCTATTAAGTAAATGAGGTCATCGAACTTATTAATTTTTTTTGACGTTCATCGGTGTATTATTTTAGTTACGTGATTTATTTTGGTTTGCTGTAAGTGATAGGTGGTTAAATTTGATTTGATAATGTAGTTTTTTTTTGTTTAGTTCTTTACCCGAAAATTGAAGTCTTATAACAACAGATGATGCCCATGATCTTGATGAGAAATAATGTAAACAGAGTGAATTGTAAAGGGACATCTTTCCCTTTGATAGCTAACATTAAAAAGGGAACATTCCATGGGTTTGGTTTGGTTTGGTCATGTGTGGAGAATTGATGAAAAAAGAAACGAAAGAGAACGAGCATGAATGAGTAAATAGTGTGTGACTAGAGTATGGTTTAGATTTTTTTTATACAACTTAGAATGACAAACAAGCTAACGGCCTACCTGATGGAAAGTGGTAACCGTCGCCTATAGATATGAGCAGTACCATGGACATAACAGAGTTTCGCCCATGATACCTCCCATGCGTTGCCATTCCTGAGGACTCAGTTGTTATTCCTCTGTACCCTGTAAATTCACGTCATATCCCATCCTTCAAACCGAAACACAGTCATGCAAACACAACTGCTTCGCGGTAGAAACACGAATGGGACAGAGGTACCCAAGCAATCGACTTTTGTACAAAGTCTCCCTCTGGTAGATGAACGATCCCTTCCGTTATTGTATGAATAGATTTATAGATCTGACACTGCAGGTACTATCCTTAATCTATGATCTGAAGGAAGCGCAGGTTTGTTTGAATATGATACTTGCGAGAGGGAAGGGATTATTGGTATTGATTAATTGCGTTATTGCTAGTAAATATACGCTAGCAGGTTGACTTCAACATAATTCCCTCTGAAAATTATGGAGGTTAATTCCTAGTGAGTTCATCACGATGATGCACGTAACGGACTTGCTTTCATCCTCACTTATCACTTGTGCTCTACAAGCGCATAGTGCTAGCGCAAATGGGGCTGCTATCATAAGGATGGTTTCTTATAAAACAACTAATCTTAACGTAAGGGTCAAGCAATTTGTGTGATTGCCTGGCTATGTAGATATACTATATATAGGCTTTTATTCTTTTTGTATAATTTAAATTTTCAATTTTCGAATTCCAGTTGCTAATCCCGACGTCATCGGTGCTCCGGATATCAAAGGAGAAGGTTGCCCGTATAATTCCAAATGCAGTTGGCGTTTGCACTCGGGATGAGAGACACGTGTTCGGTTCTTTACTGTCTCGTGATTCCACTTATAAATTGATGATGCACGTATGGAAAGCGGCCAGGCCCGAGTTGGCAACACCAAAGCCACAGGTAAATAATTTGTTTATGCGCGCCATGTTTATTTGAATTAAAAGTCTGAGTTATAGATGACTAAAGGTGATTACAACTTCAAAAAGAAATACATTTATCTTTATCAATTGTGAACTAATTTATTTATTTTTTTAAATTTGATGTGTTTACACTTTTTGGTCTCATGCAAATTATGTCAAAATAGAAATAATTTTTTTTGAAGTAAAGATGTTTAGAAATGCACTAAATAACTAAATAATTGTTTAAGATGTTAATGTTTTTTTGTAAGTTTATTGCGAACAAGAACTTATGTAGGTTAAAGAATGTTTAAACTACTTAGTTTTTGTATTGTATAGATATTGGGACGCAAATTGTCAAACTTTATTCACTATGATGATGACGATACAATAAAGCAAGCCATTGATGAGCACAGGTTCATAAAAGGAAGCGATAGTATATTTGTTTAAAATGATATCCTGACAAGCTCGATTTGTAAACAATGATTTTCCTGTTTTTCCTTATTATCTTTTCCTTCTTTGAAAGGTCAAGGTTACAGTTAGCTAAGAACTTCTTGGAATTACTTATTCCAAGAAGTTCGTATTGTGTAGATTTGGGCATTTTTTGTGTGAAGTAGTTATATACATTACGATTTACTTTTAAAAAAAATAACGATTTTAGTCGTAACGAAATTAACATGGTGCCCATATATAAACGTTATTGATTGTGAAGATAAGTTTCAAAATCTTTTGGCAAATTGAAAAGTGTGAAATTAATAATTTCCTTCTTTTTGAAGTGGCTGAAAGAACACTACGAAGTATTGCTAAAACGTAAATATTAGTAAAATACGATCATATTGTCGCTGTGTGGTCCCGGTATACGCCATCCCTACCTTCCCGTGGGTGTTGTAGGAGGCGACTTAGGGAGGGCGAGGGATGGGCAGCGCCACTTTTAAAACATCTCTAAATTCTAACTGTGGTTGCCAATCCGCTTACCAAAAATGTCAACTAATGGCAAAACCCCCATGGGGGAGGCTTATATTCAGCAGTGGACAATTACAGACTGATATGATGTTGATGATGACCATATTTTACAGAATGAGGAAATTCCACGACATGTAGCGTCAATCTTAAATATATTGTCTAATAAGTACAATCCGTCTATGCAAGTAACTCAAGATCATTCCTTATAGCCGTTTATGGAATAGGTTTACATATGTTCAACTGCAGATAGTTAACAGCTAATGTAATTATGATGTTTTAATATGTTTTGAGTTTGAATAAAATTTGGGTTCGTTTTAATTCCACTCCTTTGCCATGCAGTGTTAATCTGCTTTGAATACCAAATCAGTTGAAGAAGCGTACTAAACAGGAGTGTTATCTCGTAGAATCTTCGTCAGGTTATATAAATATAGTTTCGTTATATACTCTTAATTATATTAATTCTTGTTTGCCTTGTACAGGGTTTGATGCGAGCCATTACGACATTCACTTAACTGTAATTTGTAAACTGTTGTGACTTATTTCTATTATATTTCTAGTTCACTTAAGTAATTTTTAATATTATCAGTTTATAATGTTTCAACGACTATGTATACCTATTTAATTATTTTATATCGATTAAAAAAATGGTATGGAGCTTTCAATTTTTAGGTATTTCTTGGAGTAAAGAATTGGATCTTTGAAAGTTTTAAGACCAATGAATATGGACTGAAGATACGAAAGAAATTGTCATTTACCAAAGAATATTTTTATTATGTGGAGTACCTTTATAACCCTATAATGTAGCCTCTTTTGAACTCCAATTATAAAACTATTTGACTCTTCATTACAGGATGCCCGAATATCGGAAGTGGATTTGGACGCTTCAGAGTACTCGCCCGAGGACGATAGCAGTTCAGGAGCTGGCGAGAATCATGACCCACCGTCGCCACCGGTCCGGAGAGATTCTGAATCTGGTAAGATTCATTTGATAACGAAAGAGTGATTTTAAACGTATTCATCATCGATTCAATATCCAGAATGCTCCAAGAATGTATACTCGTATACAGTATGTTAATTAACCAAATCTATTCCTTAAAGGCTAGTGTTAATATCCATTAATAGGATCTCCAAAATTTTTTTTCGAAGATAAAATTGTGTGTATTTTGTCAACAATTAAAATTCTCAAAAAAAAAATATCAACTGTATATATACCAATAGCTACATCATAATAGGTATGCCTTTTACTAACACTAGTTTCAAGAAATGCGTTAGTCAATTGTATATCCATTGTTTCATACATTCCATTTTTAATTACGAGTATGTGTGTGATTCCTGAATGTGTTTTTTTTTTATGCAACGTAACATGGATTGCATACAGTCCACCTAATGGAAAGTTGTAACCACTGCCTAAAAATGTCAAATCTTTGCTAAACCTAGTATAGCTATTGGATTATTTTGTCCCTTCCTTTACACTAAGTTCTCAATATGAAAGAAAGTCACAACACAGTGCAATAGTTAAAGTAGATTTGTAGAAGGTTTTAGTTTTCATGAATACGGGGGTATACAGTACCATGACATAACATAAATACACTATGATGCGTTGCCGTTGGTGAATACTAAGATGTTATGTCTACTTAACCTGTACTTTTTGTATTTGCCCCATGTTAATATAGTCGCGATTGAAGTTTTTTTTGAGATAATTATATTAAGAGGGGTGTATTGAAATTTACTCAGTATGCCAACGTCGGAGTTACTTGTCTATTTTCAATAACAATTTTCGATATTTCTGATTGATTATGTATTTATAAAGTGCTGTAACAGAAAACTTAATTATTATTACATTATTTATAGAATAAGTTGCACATAAGCGGACCACTAAGATTTGCACTTACTTCACGTTTTGCTTTGAAAGTTTTTAAATACTTAAATTTTTTGCTATCAAATTGTCATTGACAAATTTTCTTTATGTTACTTAGCAAAGCAAACAAGCTCTATAAGAAACTTATTGTAGGATAAATATTTTTATTGTCATATTATGTTAGCAGAGTTCTTACTATGTAATTAAATATATTTAAAATTGGTAAATTATTTTGAAAATTTGTCTGTAAATTTGGACGTTAACACACTTCGGTACGCTTCGGTATGGATACCCTTAAATTGTCTGTTTTATTTAGTGTACTGTGATGTTGATTCTAGGCGCATGCGCTACAGTGATCCAGCCGGCGCTGCTGACGGGCGGCGTGGTGGGCGTGGTGGGCGTGGGCGCGGCGGCGGGAACGGTCGCGGGGTGCGGGCGGGCGCGGGGCGCGGGCGCGTGCTGGCGCGTGCTGCTCGTGGCCGCCACCGCGCTGCTGGCGATCACCGCCGCGCTGCTCTCCTACAAGTTATACCTTGTAAAACTGCATCCACAGGTGCGTTTACTACTCGTAACTTGAAAATTAGGAGGTTAAGAAAACTTAATTTGATATTCCTTCATAAACTAGTAATGAAATGTTATGTAAATTGGACACTCTTTTCCACGCTTAGTCTCTCTTTTGGGCCGTTGTGCGTATGTGTCGTGGCTAGTACAGCCAGCGCAGTTCCGCCCAGAAGCACAAGCTGTCTGTAATCATGGGCCTCACGGAGCGACCTTACCATTCCGAGGATTTTAAATGTTGAGGGGCCACAGCTTCATATTCTAGGATTACGTGAGCAGCTGTTTCTTCGGCGTCGAAACAGCCTCAACATATAGAGCTGTCTGGAGCAATGACCCGTTATTGTCCCTATCGTTGTTTTAAGATTTTTTTCTATCTAGATAAACTAGTAAATTGTTAAAGAAAGTTTTCTCGGTTGTATGTAAGTATGTATGTTCTACCATTAAACAATAATTTGTACCCCCTTAGATATTGGAAATTAATGTACAAGTTTATATGTAGTGTATTACACTATCATGTTATCAAGGTTTTTTCTTCATGGAAATAGTTTTTTTTTTTTTATGGAAAAACAATATTTTTTTACGTAAAATCTAACTTTAATTGAATATATTTTTTTTTGCTATCTTAAGTCGAGATAGTAATTCACAAGACTACAACGGAGTTTTGATCTTTGTTATGTATTAATTAAATTATGTCGCGTTATAACTAACCGGATGTTAGATAAGATTATTACCTATATACTTATATTGGTATTTATATACGTACTGCTAATGTACGTTGGAACAAAGACGAACTTGTTTATCATATCTGTATTCCGCAGTTTCGGTCGTGGTTATGATATTGAATAGTTTGTGACCGTCCTTAAAAAATGAGCTACCAAATCGTATGTCCACTGTTGAACATAGGCTTTTCCCATGGGGGGGTTGCCAATAATTGCCACGCTAAGCGGTTTGGCAAAACAGGTTTTTTATGTTTTAATAGGGACGCTGCTGCCCATCCCTCGACTATAAGTTCCCTTAGTCGCCTCTTACAATACCCTCGGGAAAAAGGGGTGTTCTATTCTAAGCTGCAAACGTATGGCATATATCTATCAAATACGAAATGAGTTTTTCAAATCTGACTGATAGTTCTAGAGATTAGTGCGTTCAAACAAACAGACCTTTCAGCTTTATTATATTAGTATATTTATTAGAAAAACATAACGTAATGTTCTTGGACGCTGATAGTAATCATTCCAGATTGAATGTAACAAGCTTTTAAAATTATTTTAGGAGGAACTAAGTAAATTATCTGGCGAGGAAATGTACTCTGAATTGATGAGGTGGCGGACGCGACTGCACGGCCGCGCCGCTAACGAGCTGCACGCTTTCCTTACTACCAACCTGCTTCTACTCACAAAGGTATATTGTTTTCTCATCTTAACAACTATAGTCTAAGGTGTCCCTCCCAAGGAAAAAGAATGCATCAATTGAATCGTTATCTCAAATAAGATAAAACGAGACACAAGACGTCGCTTTCATTCGGCGTGAATTTACTGGGTACAGAGGAATAACATCTGAGTCTTCAGGAATGGCAACGCATGGGGTATTATGGGCGAAACAGTATACTCTGTTATGTCCATGGTACTGCTCATGTCTATAGGCGACGGTTACCACTTTCCATCAGGTGGACCGTCAGCTTGTTTGCCATTCTATGTTGCATAAAAAAAATCTATTGATCGATTCTTTGGCTACTTGTCGAGGGTTACTTGATTAGAATTATTTTGTTTAATTCCGCTACTATTAGTATGTGTGATTTGCTAACACTCGAAGATTCGCCACCACTATAGAAGTTCCATAACCTTTTCATATTAGTCATTAATCTCCGACTGCCATTTTTTCACATAAATTTTTTCATAAATGAGGCATATTCAGGCGAATTATTAAATCGTCGCCTATAGACATAACAGAGTATACTGTTACGCCCATGATACCCCCCGTGCTTTGCCATTCCTGAGGACTCAGATGTTATTCCTCTATACCCTGTAAATTTACTGCCATATCCCACCCTTTAAACCGAAACACAGCCATACAAACACAACTGCTTCACAGTAGAAACACGAATGGGACAGAGGTACCCAAGCAATCGACTTTTGTACAGTCTTCCTCTGGTATATTCTCACATAGATTTAAGAGTAGTATCTCCTAGTACATACGACATGCAATGACAATAACAGAATCCGTGGTAAGCAATACACAGAAGTGTAAACAAGATGGGAAATATAGTTTTGTCTTGCTCTGCACACGCGGTCAATTTATTTGCCACGTCAGAAGTATTATGTTTATATCACTCGTTCAAACTAAGTATCTATGTCACATTTTTCATTTGTTAGTTACCTCAGTGACTTAATTCTATTGCTATTTCATAGTGTATACGCTGATAACATTTCCATGGATTCCTCTTTCTAAGTATTCTCATAATTCGCTTCAGGTGCGGCAATCCTTAGAAACGTTGTCCGGAGTGATATTAACGGACATGGCGCATGGCTCACCTCTCAACGTGGACATGCCTAACGAGACTGTCTTCAGTTAGCGCAGCCGGCGACAACAGCCGGCCAGCCGGTCGCCGTCGGAAGGTTGTGTGCCTCGACTTGCAGATAATTGTGTTTAGGGTACCTACCTACACGCAGTTAAAAGGCCTTTCCGATAATCGAAGAATTTAATTGTGCCCCGCAAATACGTTTACGCTCGAAATATACAAATCTCAAAATAAAAAACATATGAAATTCAAAATGTTCATATCTCTGTTAAAGGTCGCCTGATAGATCTCTTTTAATGGTAAGATCATGAAGAAGACGTATAATGTACATTGTACTTCTCCTACCATATAGTTGTTTGTTATTAGTTACATTAAGATATTATTTGAAGATGACAATAAAAATAAAAAAATATACTATAATACTGAAAATATCAAAGTCTCTGATATCTATATCTCTAATGAAAAGTCTTAATAAACCTATGCCAATCGTGATAAAATGAACAAGGAATAAACATAGATGTAAACAGTATCGCTTGCAATGAGAATTACCAAAATCGTTACAGAATTGCCGGCACTTAATCTGTGGTCGTAGCCCACTCATACTTAAACGATATAATTCATTTGGAAAATATACTTTATATTCTGAGGAGATAAAAAACATCGCTACAAAAGTATCTTAAAGTTCCTATCACTGATACGAAGTTTTTTTTTAAAAAAAGGGCGAACATATAAGATCGTGGAAAGGTCACAGGTTTTTTTTTTTACCTAGAAAGCCCTTCTCTCATTAATAATATTAATACAAAATTGGAGAAGATATCGTGTACTCACTAAAAATGACCATAACCAATATTTCGTCAAGGTTTTTTTTTTATAATGAATAAGATTTTCAAGAGATAACAATTGAAGAACCTTAAAGAGGCGAAAGCAATGTCCCCACCATCAAATAGGTCGTATGCATATTTGCGTGACATTTTTATTATTATCGGAAGCGCATTTTAATATAATTAATTATTTATCGTGTCTAATTAAAAACATTAATAATTGTAGCATGTAATTGGTTACGGTGGAGGAATCTAATTTCTTGTAACCAGCTTAAGTTATGATTTTCTTATAAAGAATAAATCGTCATAGTCGTAGAATACTGACGGATCTGACAAAGATTACATATAAAGATCCGTTACTATTCTACGACTATGACGAAATGACAGCAACTATTTCCAGTTTCGTCAATGATGAAATTTTATTTGCATACATAATCGACGACATTGGTTATTTTTACGACTTCTAAATTGTCAAATTCATTTAATGATTCCACGAATTGAATGATTCTGAATATAGAATTAAATTTTATGGATAACAAATTTTCAGAATCATTTCATTATCTAGTTTCAGTCTGTATAAAGTTGTCGTTATCAGTTGCTATATAATTTTAAATTGCTAGCAATATTCACTTCGGACTAAAGTCTATATGTTTTAGTACAGTAGTAGTAAAATATATAGTTTTAGTTTCGGAGCATTCAGAGATAAGTAGGATATGTTATCTTTTCATTTTGATATGGATATAATGGTACTATAAGAGCTCAACATAATATTCAGTGCTAGGCATTTATATTTCTTTTTTTATGTAAATACACGTTGTCTATGGTGTTGTTATTGTCTATAGATATATTTAAATTTATAATCGCAATGAATGTGCTAAATTTAGCACTATATTCATACCGATAAATTATTTAATTTGTACAGAATAGATGCTAGCCTTTTAGCCAACTTATTAACGTGAGAAAGTGAATGAGACTGAGACCATTGAATGATTTCAAAGTGTTTTATTTTGTGTAATCTGTATTTTTATTATTTGACATATTTAATAAACAAACTTGGCGTGTTTATTATGGAAAACTGATATATAAAAAGATGCACGAAAAATAGCAATGTACAATAATATATACATCTTGGGAAAGGGAAAAACAAAGTATCGTAACTTCAAGTAGATTAAATTAAGTGTTGTATTGTATCAAGAAGCAAATAAACTCGTCAAAAATCGCAGTCAGTGGCAAAAATTCCACCAACAAGAGTGCGGCTCTTAAGAAAAAAATTAATAAGAACACAAAAATATGATGTTTTCGTTAAAAAGACATGCTAAGTTTGTTTACAAAGATGCCAAGATAAAACAGTATAGGTATGTATATGATATCGATTCTCGATTACTCACTAGTGAGTATTCGATTCTACGATAGTAGGTGTCTCTTCAAGTCAGTAGAGATGTGGATCCGTGTCCAAAGAGTTACTATGTTATCCAATTCGATTTTGTAACTATTGAATGTGATGTTAAAATGTACATAAGATTAGTTTTGAAGTTGGTTTAAAATATGTCTATAAGGCATAACTATGTCGTATTAATTGTGTCAAACACACTAGGTTAAGTTAGGTTAGGCCAAACATTTGTTTTTGTTGATACCGATAATAGTGAACGATGCAATTTTATTGTGAACCAAGAAGAGTCCTATGTACGTAGAGTACAAGCAAGACTTTGTCCATTTTATTATGTTTATTGTTAGATTCCAAACCAAAGTTGTCCGTTAGTTTGGCCTTAGAAATGTTAGGTGTAGTCGTATTCACAATTGTAGTGTAAATTATACAAACATGTACGTAAGACTGACTGCTAACATGCCCTATATTTATGTTATTACTCAATTTACAGTTTATTTTTCTACTTGGCATATTTAGTAAATAATATAGACTTTATCAGAATTGGTCATTTAATAACAAGACAAAAGTATTAGACAATAATAATACATAATGACACCAAAATCTTTTTTATTTTAGCCATAGTTTATGCACTTACATTTCTATAAACAGATATGCTATGATTTTTTTATTAAATATGCCAAGGATATATAACTATTATATATGTATTTATATTATGACTATTTAAAAAAAAAACTATTTTAATATAAAAAGAGAATATCATCGCCAAATATTGAGAAAAGGTGCGACTCGATGGATAACTGCAAGTAATAGTGACATCTGGCGGGATTTAAGTGAGAACATTTAATTATTACTTTATTGACTTCCCTCTCCCGAACAATACAATTGTGAATGCGGCGCTGTCAGAAAGGCAGTGGTGCTAGTAATTAGATAAGGGTAAAAGAACCAACATTCCTCAATTGAGCAATATCCCAATTCCATAGTAAGAATGTTTAGCTTATGAAAGATTGGCCCAAAATTGATAGAGTTGTAAATGGTTTGCCAAATGTTATATTCATAATATTTCTTGCCACTTTATGTTTTTTTTTTATAAATAATATTTAATATCGATAATAAGAACTGTCACTGATGAGTGTAAAAAAATAGAACTTTCATGAAATGAAATCATAATGTAATTTTTTTTCTGACGATCGAAATAGTTTCTTTCTTTGTTAAGTTTCTGTTATAAACAGTATGTAATATTTTTTTTATTTTTACCAATCGTTAAAAACAATGTATTGTATACATATGAATACAGTAATTAATGACCATTTATTGTTATAAATTATTGTTCTAGTCTTCGGGAACGCTCAATCGTTGGTTTACGTAAAAATTGGGTTAGTACTTAGTGACGGAAATGTAATGTAAAAACAATCCAACTTTTAAATTTATTATTTAATAATTTTATATGCTTATAAAAAATCTGTACTGGTATTTGCTTTACTTCAATATGTTCAATTGAACACCAAAAAATTTTATATTTAATCATTGTCAATATCGAGGATAGTATGGGCACAGATAATATTATGATAAATCGAAACAGATTCCATAAATAAATATAGAACTTTAGAAAAGAATCCTACAGATTCAATAAGTATTGTATCAGTATTTATGATCTATACATTAATCTGTTCTTGAAAGTATTTAAAAATTTACCTCATGAAGATAACATTGTACCGGGCCTTTTACTAAAGATAGACATATATGTATCTTATGGTTTAGCATCTTGATAATAGAGGGCGCTAGAACTTATAAAAATAATTTGTACGCAAGCTAGATTTAAAATAGGGACGTGTAAAATATTAATCATGCTGGTGATTGTTTTAATGTAATCCAAGGGCTTTTATATATCTTGTGTATACTTTGTTGAATTTAGTCAATGTAATTAAATGAAATTGGTCGTTGAACTGAACACGCATGGCCTAATTTGCACTAGGCTAACAACATCAGTGCCAAAAACTTTTCTATATTTCAAATTTAGGCCTCCTAGTGCGTTCTTGTTGTGTTGATTATACTTTTGTTGGTCGCTTATTGTTACCACAAGATTTAGGATATTCTTAAAATCTATAAAGAGTGCAATCTGACTAAAAAGGCACTCTGGTGTCGGCGATAGCTTAGTGCATTCGTGGGGTGTGGGAATATACTGTAAGGGGATGTTCATATCTGTAAGAGACAGTTATCACTTTCATGTGAATCAATCAACATTCTATCATTCCCAGTACATAGTCATAAATAAGTATACTCAAACTGTACGAGTAATTTATTATGTAGTGACTGTGTTTAGACACTTGTGGTAATAATTCTAAATTTGACACTTTATTTTTTCACCATTAACGAATCATTTGTAATTATTAAAAATTTGCCAAAGAAATAGTAGATAGAAATATCAAACATAGTATAGGAGATTTGTACAATATATAGTTGTAGGTAGAATCATGTTGTTATATTATTTTTATTATTTTACATGTGTAACTTCTGCAGAATCTTGCAGGTAATGTGTTGTTACATTATTTTTAATAAATAGTTTATTTATTTCGTAACATATAATGTACAAGTGGAAAATTTTAAAGGTGTTCAAGTCAATATATTTCAACGTCTAGACTTGTTTCATCTTTAGAAAAGCTTCTTAATATTATGTTATCATCAAATTATAAATTTTTAATATTATTAGTTGTTTATAAGAACACTCTATTTTTTGGAAATACAATGGAAAGCTTTATTTTTGTATTTAAATATGTAATACAGACATTGCTAGTTTAGATCTAAACATTTTCCACTTGCTCACGAAAGTGCAATGTACTATTCAGTGATGAGAATTTATGTAATAAGTTGATTTATTTCTACCGCGTAGGAATTGTTGACGTGTTTGGTTGTCGCTCATTTTTGTATATTTGTTCAAAGTTATGTATGGTTCGTTTGTTGTTTCTTGTAAATAATAGATTGAGTTAATTGAAAATGTGTTGTGTTTTATTTATTTTACACTGGCTGTATTCCGCGAAGATTCTCCTTTGAAATAAAAGTTTGGAATAGAAATTTTTAAACTGTTTACTAAATTTCTAAAGAGATGAATATCTTGACATCATAACATTTATATCTAACTAGCTGTATTCCACGGCTTCACCTGAATGAATCGGTACTTATAATACCCTACGCGCTATGTTAGTATATAAACTACTCGTGTTCGAAATTTTATTCAAATCCGTTTAGTAGTTTTTACGTGAAAATGTAATTAACATCCATCCATACATCCTTATAAACTTTCGTATTTGAGATGTTAATAGGATATTTTATATATTAAATTTCATTTCCTTTTATTCTTCTTATAAATGTGAAAGTGTATTTATCTTAATGCCAATCACTATGGTATGCTATAGTTGGTATATACTTACTATATGAGATGGGGAAGTACATAGGCTGGTAATCAATAAAATAAATACGTAATTACTCGTATTAGTTTCCCTATTTAGTTTAGAACTTGCTTTACAGTGCGTGTGGCTGTACAGAGTTGGCATTTGAAAACCTGGATTAAAAATGAGGATTGTGTATATTAGTGTGATAAACCAAGACATGGGTTATTTATGTACCAAATTTCATCTAAATTTGTTCAATAAAAAAACAGAAATGCCTTTACAAAGTTACATTTATAATAAGATAAAAACAACATTTTTCAATAATAGTTTAATTGATATAAATAACATAGAAAACTATGAAATAAAGAAATTTAACATTCTATAAAAAATCATATCTAAACAATAATAATAATTTCATGCATTTATGTTTAAGTTTTACAGTGTTTCAGAATGGAAGAACAGTTCACAGAATGTTTACAGGTAAGTGGTTTACAGTATACACAATAACTACGATTACGGCTTTATTATTTATGCCATTTATGGTTATACATTAAAATATATATCTTTTAAATGTTAACTCGTATTTAGAAATCTTAAACTCTTGGACATATTGTATTCTGTGCCTTTAAACTGTACTCTTTTACAAAAAGATATGTAATTTACAATAAGAAAAACGAACAAAGAAAATAATTTATTTTAAAATTCTTTAAATGGAATAAAAAATTATTGGGGTTGTTGTAGCCAGGTAAAAAAATTGGATATTTTAGAATATAATTTCTAAATGATTTTATGAATGGAGATTTTTATTTAGCTGTTGAAGATCATCATAAGTGATCGTTTTATTGCAAAGGGGTTCGGGTTTATAATTACATTAGGTTGGAGAATGTAACCTTCCAAGAATTCCTTTCATTATTTATTTATTTATTACTATAATCTCTTATTTACTTTGTTTCTGTAATGTACACCAAGATCTAAACCAATTATTATTTTTATTATGACAATGTTATAAAAATAGACGAGTTATTTATTTTTATGGGTCTGCCCAGACGTTGTGAATTGAGCCTCGTCTGCGTAGGTCTTTATCTAAATCTAGGGGTTTATTCTGAAATGACAAATTTAAACATTTGCCCGAAAGTTATGGCCATTTTTACCAACAAAATCACTGAATTCAGTCGGTCGATAGATTTTTTCCAGTTTGCTCAAATAATATTGACAAGTAAATTGAGCGATAACAAGTAATTTAAAGTTTAACAGAATATCATTCCTTGAACATTTAGATTAATACGATGCATCCTACATCTATTTAAATCAGACTGCATCCATATTCGTAATAGTACCTGAACAAAGAGGTACAACACTTACCTACATATAACAAACATCATTACAGAAAGTTCTTTTTGTAAGAAACGGAAAGCTTATAACTACTTCTTCTTAGACAAAGTCCTTTGTTTCTCAGCATGTTGGACCAGCTGTTTGTCTGTGGCCAAGCCTTTCCTGACCCTGACCGAGTCCATGTATGCCTTGGCTCGGTTCACTCCGTCCCATTTCTCCCCCCATTGCAGATATTCTTCTTCGGTCCGCGGGCGCCAGAATGGATCGATGTCTATTACCTAGAAAATAAGCAAAATTATAAATTTCAATACTGGCTGTAACCCGCGACTTTTCCTATTAGAAGATACATAAGACATGATCCATCTATTTAAGTAATTTTATTTAAATTTATGTAGCTGTAAAAAGTAATTATTAACAAACGTCTCGTTGCAAATCTCTAAAGTTTAAACATGTACAGACTGATCTTTTAAAATTTATATTTTTTAAATTTATTTAGGTAATTTGATAAATTAGAAATTATTGGAAATGGATTAATTTACTGCTGAGTAATGGTAATGTGGTACATACACTTCTTAAACAAATATCGACGTTTAATCGTCAATAAGTTTAATTTTGTCCACGTTATTAAATAACGTGGACAAAATTGTACAAGTGTTCCAAATAAATATTATATTCTGAATTTATCCCAAACATAATGAAACCAAAAAGTAAATTATTTGTTGTAATATCATTTCAAATATGCTGTCGTAATTTATCGTAAAAATTATTCTTATGGCATAGAATTAAAGATCGAATTTAATTGCGACAAAACCAGTTATTTTGATCTAAAAACTAAACTATTCAACCGATTTTGATAAATTTTTATACGACCAACCTGTAAGTATGTCCTTTTAGATAAAAAAAAGCATTTTCTAAATCGGTTTAGAACTGACGGAGTTATGTGATAACAAACATAAAAAGGTATACAACCGAATTGAGAACTTCCTTCTTTTTGAAGTCGGTTGATAAAGAGATAAGATTGATAAAAATGTTCACAATTAAATTTACATCTACACTAATATTATAGATTAGGGATCCTTACTAAAACTTTTGTAACGTAATTAAAAAATGCTTTCGTCGCGTGCGCTGCGGAAACTATTGGTGATAGAACAAAAGTATGTTCTACAATATTGAAGAAAATACCAATAAGTATAAAAAACTTCGTGATACTATATGTTCAACTATAATCATTATGTCACAATAACCACTTTTTTAATATGTTGTAAAAATGTCCACCAGTGCGAAGCCGGGACGGGCCGCTATTAGTTCATAAAATATTGGCGGTTAGCCACCAATATGTAATAACTAAAGCAGTTGCATATTTATTATATTCGTATTCTTACTATTACATGACATTTGAACATGGATTAATCCTTATCAATATGATATTAGTTCTGAAATATATAGAAAAATGATGTACACGTAAATAAAATCTTAAATTATGATATATCGTGTTTCTACCGTGAAGTAGTTATGTTTGTATGACTGTGTTTCAGTTTGAAGGGTGGATTATGGCAGAGAATTGACAGGGTATAGAGGAATAACAACTGAGTCCTTAGGAATGGCAACACATGGTGGGTATCATGAGCGTAACAGTATACTCTGTTAGGTCCACGGTACTACTCATGTCTATAGACGACGGTTACCACTTTCTATCAGGTGGGCTGACAGTTTGTTTGTCATTCTAAGTTACATAAAAAAAAGATAAAATATCATACCTCCCAGTGACTAAACAGTAACTGTGGTGCGGCTAGGCCAGACGTATGCGTCCTGAGTTCCAGTGCAAACTTGAAGCTTTCAGCTACCGGCAGTAGTGCGCGTACTCTGAACGATGATGAGCCACCCTGCAAGTCACTGGCTATGACGCGTCCACCGCGACGACCCAGTGCCGCGTATAGTTTACCTGCAACAAAGGAAAAATATATCTGATTATTGAATGTAACACGTTTGGTAATTCGTTAGTATTCTTTCAAATTCAGCACATCTTGTATTTTAGTGATTATGATGGTAATCTAATTTCGCTTGAGCTATTGGTATTCGCTGACGTACATTTAGATAGGTAAGTTATTATTTTTAGCGACTAAAAAAACGGGGGAATTTAATATAATTTCTAAGCGATTACAAGAAGGAGGTGAGCAATTGGTATTTTTTTATCTGTATGTTACGAAATATCTGTATCCATTTTGAAATTACTTTGATAATTTTAAGGCAATCTAAACGGTGTGTTGGTCTTATATTAACTTTATCCTGACAGAAGTAATCTTTTTGTGATATAAAATCTTAAGTGATCTGTATGTAAATATTTCAGCTGATTTCGAATTGACAACAATAAATATTTTTAATGATTGTCTTTCAGCATAGTTCCATATAAATTTGTTAAAATTGAACATTTATTTTTTAATTAAATTTTTTCTCTTTGAATAGTTTTTTTGTAGTCTTAGAATAGGTTTTTAGTAGTCACTGGTTACGCGAAATGACATGGATAAACTACCGTAAATTACGCGGAATAATTTATGTTCGTGCCATAGACCGTGGTGCAATGGTAATCACGTTCATTTATAAAAAAGTCACGAAACCTGCGCGTCCACTAACGTATTTATTGGCAAAACAATCCACGTGACTCGCAATAGTTCATTCAGTATTTTTTTCCACTGGAACCACTGAAAAACGCATCCGCGACTCGTGAGCGGGGAGAAAGAAGCCAAAAAACGTTACACCGCAAAAAAGTTCGCTTCGTGATGTCATGTTACCGGGACTTCGACAAATATTCAGTGGTCAGTCGCGTAGAAAAATTCCTTGCTTCTTCACAGATTCGTCGCGGCCATTTTGAGATGAAAGGGGGGCTTCCGGTCACGGGCATCCGGTTCATGCGGTCACGTCTGCGGGATGGCTCACGGTGAAAAACTAGTTCGTATTTGCCCAATAAATAAGAGGTTTTTTGTATCATCAGAACATATTTGAACTTTCAACGCGCTAAGAATGTTGAAGAAAAAAACATCATCGTGTAACGGGGATTATACATTTTATAATTGTCGGGATGGCCATTTGTAATATAAAAGTCGATAGTTGAGGTTACAGATAAAAACAAATGATCTTGTATGATTACAATGGAATGTTGATATTGGGCGAAGTGTACATTGTATACCTATCGAGCTTTTTAGATTTGATACTTGGATGTAATGTAGTAAATAAGCATTTTATATAATATAATATAATACTTAACATTAAGAATATATGTACATAATTTCAGAGTATTTATTAATAAAATATTTGAAATATAAATAATTATTGCGTAAATTTCGTTAAATATGTAGTATAGTTTCATTAGCTGCAGTGTCCCGTTTACCCTCAGATGGCCTGTGCTTATTTGCCACCTTAGTCGTATATAAATTAAATTATTGTTCATATATTTATATTAACTTCATAATCTGAATTCAATTCAGTACCACAATTCAGTTCTATTATTATATAGTATAACAATAATTGTTACTACAAATACTCGTATATATATATATATATATATATATATATATATATATATATATATATATATATATACTTTTAAATTTGTAAAAGTTAAGGTTTTATGATTCTGATAGTATTAAATTTTATTTACTTATATTTATTACACGGAAAAATGCCAGCAATGCATTAACACTGGTTTGTTGAAAGAATGAATTAAATTGTAAAAGTAAAATATCTAAATAAAAAAAAAAAAAACAGAGGGGAGACGTTGTATAAAAGTCATTTGTTTGGATACTTCAGTCCCATCCCTAATTCTGCCGTGATACTTTATGGCAGAATTAGGGATGATTAACTACTGTTCTGTTTGCATTACTGTGATTCAGTTTAAAGGGTGGGATATGGCAGTGAAATTACAGGGTATAGCAGCATAACATCATAGTCCTCAGGAATGGCAACGCATGAGTGGTATCATGGGGGGCATAGTATACTCTCTTATGTCCATGGGGCACTTTTCATGTCTATAGACGACAGTTATCACTTTTCATCAGATGTGCCGTCAGCTTGTATGGTCAAGTCGCTTAAACAAATTATAAAGATATACTGTTATTACCTATAACATTCAATAAAGTTTAATTTTAATACATTTATATAGCTTACGAGTGTATCACAATCATAACCGTTCCTTCAAATGACCCCATAGTGAAGGCTGCGTGCGATTCGATGCGGCCATGAGCGTCCGTCAAGACGTAGTCTTAGAGGAGCTATTTCCTGCGGTTTCGTTCACTAAATAATAATTACACATTACGAATGGTCACTGTTGACTTGTGACGGTATAAGATTTTTTTTTGTTTACAGAATTTGACTCCAAAAAGTGCTTTTTTTATCTGATGTAAATTATATAAATGGCCTTCTAAAATAAATTATAATTATTAAATTATTTAAATTTTTATTGTAATATAATCATTAAATTACATAGTAATTAATGTAAGTTCTCGTTTTACAAAAAATCAGGATTCAATACGGATTGGAAAGAACATCCTTCCATTAAAAATAATAAATACTTATTAGATTAAAAAATAATCATCAAAAATATATAGTCGAAGATAGAATCTTTTACTTTTTAGAAGTCGGTTAAAATCGCCATATCCCGTAGCGTAAAATACATGAAAAAACACTCAGTCGAATTAAAACTTTCTTTTCGGAAGTCGACTGATAAACCTTGCACATTAATATAAATAAGCTGGTAGGCACTTAAGTTCAATATGATTTTTCTAATCACCAGGCATCGTCACTTATGTTTTATATATGTGATATATCAGTTGTTAACAGATAACGGGCGAAGAGAACCCGTTGCGCCCTATATCCACATCCATGTAACGGAGTTGGGCTTCCAAGGACATCCTGTAGATACTGTATTGGTATTTGTTGGATTGAAATACCTAAATATGTAATTTAATTCAATAGAACTTAAAGAAAGTATAAGAAAATAAAGTCTGCAAACAAAATAGATTAATTGATTGAACGTTTCAATTTGTTACTAATTTAGTTTAAGATTTTCCAACGCGGTTAGTTTTTCAACATGTTGATCTCTGAACAGTTTCCCCTGGAAACCATCGTAGTTAATGATTCTTGAATTTACCAGGATGGAGAAACTGAGCCGATTTCATCCTAATTGATTTGTTCTCTATTGGTGTTTGCCATTGTGCGTTTAGAATAAACAAGCGTACCATTCCCTTTATTAAAATTTTGTTAATTATTAATTGAATACTTCTTCGTACCTACGCACTTCTAAAACTAAGATTAGTTCTCACTTAACTAGTCTTACTTGAAGACTGTAGGAGTTTATACACTAGAGTTACTTCTATAATTGACAGAATAAACCCTAAGCACAATGTTAACTTGCGTGGGCAAAGACGTAGGTAAAAATTAATTAACCAAATCACTACAACTTAATTTCAATACAATTATAGCTGAGAGGAATGGGATTATTGATATTGAGGACTCGAGGCCCTATAGGGAGTTATATACCCTGCCAGGTCGACCTTGGAAACCATCGTAATAAATTCTTGTTGAATTCTTCAAGATGCGCTAACTGATCAGAGGGCCTACCATGAAATATTTTCCGAAATTTCGGAGCCAAACGAAACAGAAATTTGATGTTAAAATTTCATAATACATGCCGTTTGGAAATATTAAAAATGTTAAAATATTGTTCCTTTGGACTTTTATGATAGGATGTATGACGAACGAAATGTTAAAATTCATTTATTGATTTTGGTATAAACAAAAATACGAAGTTGAGTCCGAAATTTCGGAATATCATTTCATGGTAGACCCGCTGCTTTCATTTTTACCTATTATTCTTCACCAGTGCTATCATCCAATAAAAAACAGTTATAGCCTCCTAGAGGGTACAAACTGTGTAACTGATAGTTATTAAACGGGTACAATCATGCCCATTGCAACAAGTACTTAATTTTATGTAGCCGAACAATCACATAATGTTATAACGATACAATTATTTAATATAATATAATAATTTATTAATATTAACTGTTTGATTGGATTTCTTTTAACGATTTAGAAATGGGACATAGAACCTATTACGAATATTGATGCCTACTAAGTTTTAAAGTCTAAGCTAGTATGAGGCATTGAAGGTGCTTTAAGTTGCTCAGTGACTAGGATGAGAAGCTGTAAATTACTAACATTCGATCCAGTATTAGATTTGGGTATTTATTATCACGAGCGAGTAAAATATTTAGATATATTACGAAATCACAGATATTAATATTAGTATCACAGAATTTTCATAATATACTTTTATAGATTAGGTTGATCTATGGGATTAAGAAATGGTTATAAGGATTTCTAAATCTGGTAAACTAGCCATTTGCTCGGCACTTTATACGCGTGGATTTCAACCCTAGGAAAACCGATGAAATTGAACACTTATCGATAACATATCAAGATAAAACGTACACCAGTTTTTAAATATATCTTCAGGAATACAAAAGTGAAAACCACATACAATTCGGTGCAGTAGCAATTTGCGTGATGCCGAAGCAAACATACAAATAGACAAAATTTCCAAAAATCATCGTTTTGGCTTTTATTGCTATTATTGAGATACTTTATATTAACTTTTAATAAATAACTTTCATGTACAGACATAATTTAGTTACAGTTTTATTATATCAGTAAAATTAATTTAGAATGGTCAGAAGCTTTACTTACTTGTGGAAAAGGTATTCCGTTATAAACATTCGAAGTGAATTATGGTGCTTCATAGCGCCAATTGGGTTTTTCTATGAGACACAACCGCGGAGAGCCGGCGGATGTTGAGCAGTTAACGTGGGTTACTGCGGAAATGGTGCGGCGTTTATTGAGCAATGTAACTACCTAAACTACGGACTACCCTTTAATTGCTTAAGGCTG